GAAGCCTGCAGTAAGCTTTGAGTAGGTGGGATCCTTTATGTGTCCTAGAAAGGCTACCAGCTGTGTGGTTGCATAGTTGGCAGATGCTTAGTAAGCTTTTATACCATTCACCACCTATTGGGAATAAGGCAGGGAAACGAAGGAGGTTGTAAAAACCCTTAAAGGCTGGTGTTCTGGCACATCAGAAGTTAAGAGTTTATCATTTTTCGTCTAGTCCTGTGGGCAGTAGAAGCAGAGAAATGACTTTATTAAGAACAGTTGCTTTTATCATTCCTTCATCTTGAGGGATTTCAAATACCTTTCAGATACCAAAACAAATTAATCTCCAAAGGTGACTGGTAAGAATGGCTTAAGCCTCTTGGGATTGGTTGTGTAAGACACAAGAAGAGCTCAGCTTGAGCTGTTGACCTCGCTGACAGTCTGTGAGTGTTATATTCTCTTTCTGGATCAAGAGCCCTTTGGCTCCCTTGTAGTGAAATCAGTTTGACAGCTCTAAGCTTCTTCCCTGCTTACAATTCTTGTTTTGTTTTATATAACTGATCGCTCTCTCAGTGGTGGATATTGGGTAAATATAATCAAGAAGTTTATTTCTGGGTCAGGGGTGGCATTAGCTTCATCATTTTTAGTGTATACCTTTCACAAACAGTCAGAACTTAAGCTTTATGAGCCCATATTTTATTCATTATTGCTCGAAAGACAATTCCATTTTGGCTTGATGAGGGAACAGAACTCCTCAGGTGGAAATCCTGAGACTGGTGCTGTTCAGTACTATGAAATGGACTAGTCTGTATTGAGATACACTGTAAAAGACATACCACATTCCAAAGACCTAGTATGAAAAAAAGAATGTAAAATATTGAATTAGTAATTTTTATATCAACTACTTGTTGAAATATTTTTGTATATTAGATTAAATGCATTAAAATTAATTTTGCCTATTTTTACTTTTTAAAAATGGCTACTGAAAAATTTAAAATGACGTCTATGGCTTGTGTTATATTTCAGTTGAATGCTGTTCTAGATTGTTAAGCTCTGGTAGCAAGGCACTGTTTGTCTTGTTCACACTCATGTGCCCAGTACCCAGCAGAATGTCTTATACAGAGTTGGCATGTAATAAATACATGTTGAAGAAATGAATCCTAGCCTTTGTTATTCAGCATGGTCACATCTCAGAAATGCATAGAAATGTCTCCATTTGCAGCGTTAGTGTTCGAAAAAGAGACATTTGAGGGTTAAGAAGAGAAGTAAAGAGCAGAAGTTCTTAAAAATTTTTTCTTGGGAGAGAAAAATGCTTAAATAAAATAGATCAAGACTTTTGCTATTGGTGAGGGAAGTGGAAGCTGCTGTGTTGGTGAAGAAGCCAAGTTAGAGTGTCTTAATGGGTTCTGTTCTGTTGTGTTCTACCACATGAGGGAGCTAAGCTGAATGCTGTGTATGAGGGGGAAGAAGGTTGGAGAATCTGTTGGTGGGCCCTCTTAAGGATGGCAATTTACACTACTCATAAACGTTAAGGAAGCTGTTCTTGTCTCAAGAATCCGCCCTGGCCGCCCTGTTTATCCCTGTGTCCTCATTTAAATGACCGTGCTGGAAGCCTGGACTGCTGTTGGGCCAGCTAATTACTTGAGGACACGTTAAGCCTTAGAATTATTTAACCAACTATTTGTTGAATTAATGATTTAGCAAATATTGCTTTAACTTAACCAAGGTTGTGTATAACATATTTATGGATATACTTGTCTTAAAGTTTCTCAGATCTGTATCAGGGTCCTGGAATCATGGTAGATAAGCAGACTTTCCAGAAATCAGGTTGAGCTTTCAGAAGGGACCACGTTGTCTTTGTAAGAGTTTATTAAAAGATCTCAGGCATCCTGTTTACCTGTTTATGCAATAGAATTATTGCCTCCTTCTCGTCCCCAGAGATGTGGTGAAGATTAAATTTCTGCAGGGGGAAAGTACTATTTTAGTGGAAATTATTGGAGGTAAAAATGAAACTCCTCCCCAACTTCTGAAATGTTTGTTTTAAAGAAGTGAATTGGACGATGCATTGAAAAGAAGCATTACCAGTGTTATTCCTCATTTACATTTGTTAACTGTGGCAGTATTTAGCTTTCTCCTTTTCATCGTGGTCCATTGCCTCTTCTCTCTACCTTCAGAGATAGTCCAGAAGTCTCCTTTCCATGGAGCTCATGCCTCGACTTGGCTGCTGCAGTAGGCCCACACTAATCAGAATCTCAGCAGGGCTTGTTTTATGAGCTTGAAAGAATTAGTGTTCCCAGGAGGCTGAAGTTCCTTGCCTGCTGGGGAGCTACAGATTTTCAAGTTTGAAACCTGTCCTCCTTTAGGACGACCTTCCCTTCCTCTTCTTACATGAAAATCACCACCTCCTTTTGCTTATAGTCTGTGATTACAGGAATGGATTTCTTTTTTCTTTTCCTTTTTTTTGGGTGGGGGGGGTTGTAGAGCAGTAATGATGATAGCAGATTTTTGTAATTTTATGAAGACCCTGAAGTATTATGTCTTCATATGAAATTATAATCTATCCCAGAGATACCAGGAAGAGAGTGAAAGATAGCAGGTGGTACCCCACAAACGAAATTGCCTGATGTGCATTTTCTAAGCAATGTCATATGCTCAGACTTACTGAAGCACCTGGTATGTGGAATGAGCAGGAAACATGAGCATGGGGGGATGACTTTCCATTGCTGGCATAGTATATAATTCAGTAAAAGTCAAAAGGTAATGTATGCAACATGTATGATAGAAATTTGTCTGCTATTACCAAACAACTTAGCAGGCTGGCAGTGAATGTTGCATTTTCTTCTGTTTGGTAGTAACATACCACATCACACCCAGTACACTGTTGGGTACAATTTTATATCAGATAAAGAAAAGCTCATTTCTTCTGCATCCATGTTTTGTTGGGGAAGATAGAATCTTGTGGATTACCTCAGTGATTATTTTATATATATATTTTTTAGTAGTGTTACAGTTTAGGATTCTTTGACTTTAAAAGCAGTCTTTTGAAGTTCACAGGGAAAAGGATTATACTCTCCATTTGCAGATGAGAAAACTAAGGTTTAGAGAAGTAGATGATAAGCCCAGAGTTACACCAGTGGGAAGCTGAGCTGGGTAGGGACATTGGGCCATTTGATGTCTGTTGCAGTGCTGTTTTTCCTCAACTTTGAGACTCATTTTGGTAGTGCTCTGTGTTATTCTAATTTATTGGAAAAACAACAGTGAGAATTCCTTTGTAGATTGCATAGTAAAAGGTAAAAGTAGCTGGGTGTGGTGGCATGCTACTGTAGTCCCTGCAGCTTGAGAGGTGGATTTGGGAGGATCACTTGAGCCCAGGAGTTTGAGTCCATCCTAGGCAACACAGCAAGACCCTGCTCTATAAATAAAAGAAGGAAGGAAGGAAGGCAGGCAGGCAGGCAGGCAGGCAGGCAAAATGAGGTCCTAAGCCTTAGACCAGGAGTCAAGAAGTACCAACTGTTTTCGGTGATGCTAATGGTTTTGTGACCTTGTGTCATATTTGGCCTCTAGGCCTTTTTTCTTGGATTTTAAAAACTTTTATTTTTAACTGACAAATAAGAATTCTGTATATTTATGGGGTACAATGTGATGTTTTGATATATGTTTACAGTGTGGAATAATTAAATTAGGGTAGTTAACAAATTCATTGCCTTACATTTTTTTGTGGTAAAGATATTTAAAATATACTCTTTTAGCAATTTTGAAATATACAATGCATTATTATTATTTATATAGTCAGCATTTAGTATAATAGCTCACTAAAGCTTATTCTTCCTTTTTAATGGAAGGTAGGTCTGTACCCTTTGATCAGTGTTTTCCTTTTCCCCATCTGCCCCTCTCCCCAGCTTCTGGTAACCATCATTCTATTCTCTACTGCCACGAATTCAACTTGTTTAGATCCCACATATAAGTGAGATCATATGGTGTTTGTCTTTCTGTGCCTGGTATGTCTCACTCAGCATGATGTCCTTCAGGTTCATCCATGTTATTGTGAGGGACAGGATTTCCCCCCATTTTAAGGCTGGATTTTTCTTACCCATTCATCTAATGATGGACACCTGGGTTGCTTCCATATCTTAGCTATTGTGAATAATGCTGCAATTACATGGGAGGGCAGATCTCTCCTCAGCATGCTGATTTCAGTTCTTTTGGATGCATACCCCAGAGTGGGATTGCTGGATCTGTGTTTAATTTTTTTTTAGGAGCCTTTGTACTATTTCCCATAATGGCTGTGTTACTTTACATTTCCACTAACCTTGTACAGTGGTTTCCTTTTCTTCACACCCTCACCAACACTTACCTTTTGTCTTTTCTATAATTGCCATTCTATCAGGTGTGGGATGATCGCTCCTTGTGGTTTTCGTTTGCATTTCTTGATGATTAGCTTTTTTTTTTCCTGTATCTTTTGGCCATTTACATGCCTCCTTTGAGAAGTGTCTGTTTAGATCCCTTGCCCAGCCTCTGGGCCTTACTCAGCTCTTCTGTAAAATAGAATTAGGACTGCAGTAGACCTTTGGATATTTCATATGTAATGGTGTTGGACTACTTGTGAGTAACTTAAAAAAAGCTTTTGTAATCTTTGTTGGACATGAATTAAAACCGTGTATGAAGGGGTTGGTGTCGGGAGTTGTATCTTTACTAGTAAGTGAGCCTAACCCAGTGTTCTCATCTCAAGATGGCTTTGTTTGGTGCTATTTCTATATACACATGCACTTTTGTGAAGTGGTAAAACTGCATATTTTAAAAATTCTGTTAAAAAAAGGTCACTGACTTTATGGTGTATTTATAGAATCATTAAGGGTCTGAGAATGACCACGTGGAACTCTACTCCATTTTGTGAGAGAAACTGTACACTGCGGTGCTTTTCAGCCAGGGAACTTTGGAATTCTTTTAGAGTATTTACTGTCTATGCCTTTCAACATCTTTTCCAGCGCTAAGATTCTGTGTTTCTTTTCTCTCTTTCTCAGCCCAACAGGGGCACAAAACGTCCCCGAGATGATGAAGAGGAAGAACTGAAGATGCGTCGGAAACAGGCTGGTACTCGAGAACGCAGCCGCTATCGGGAAGAGGAAATGACTGTGGTAGAAGAAACAGATGATGACAAAAAGAGGCTGCTTCAGATTATTGACAGAGAGGGCGAGGAGGAAGAGGAAGAGGTAATGTGGCAGAACTGGGTACAAGCTGAGGTGGCTGGTCCCAACACAGTACTGTAGTGTGTAATTTTGGGCCAAGTACTCAGCTTGTCTGAGCTTCCCACATTCATCTGTAAAATGAGGTTAAGAAGTCTTGTAGTGTTGATGTGAAGGTTAAGTGGGATAACGGATTTGGGAAAGCATTGTGGGAAGTGTAAAGAACATTACAGATGGAGTTTTCAAGTTATTGCATTATGTGCTATAACCAAGACCCAAACACTTAACTGTGGGAATGGAGAGGAAGAGACCGTTGGTGTTGAGTGGGGAGGGTCAGGGAAGGCTTCCTAGATCATACTGAGGATACCCAGAAGGCACTTGCATTGTTGAATATAGTTAATAGTTTTTAAAGGGGGATTGAATTTCATCAGTCAAACAAGTGGAAGAAAGGGCTTTTTAGGTCTAGGAAATGGCATTAGCAAAGCAACAAAGGTGGAGGAGCTATGGGGGGCAGAGGGAGCGCTGTGCTATTAGGTATTTAGGTGTGACAAAAAATACAGTATAGGGAAGGAGATGACTCAGTACCTTTCTATTTGCTGTTCTTCCGGATGCCTTAAGGTCTTTGTACTAATTCCTGCCTCTGGACCTTATGACTTCTGTGCCTTCTCTTGGTCTTGGATTCTTGGCCTCAAGCAATCCTCCTGCCTCAGTCTCCCAAAGCGCTGGGATTATAGGCCTGAGCCACTGCATCCGGCCTTGTGTTCTCTCTTGGAATGCTCTTCTTCTTTAATGCTTTGCTTGGCTAGTTCCGTCTCCTTCAGGGCTCAGTTCAAATGTTTCCTTGTCCAAGAAGTCTTTCCTAGATCCAAGGTAGTCCTGCAAGACAGTCTCTCATCTTATCACTTTGTTGTGTGTATTGTTTGCACAGAACATATCATGATGTGAAATTCTTATTGTATGAATGGGTGGATGGATGTATTTGAGTTGGGGTCTTACTCTATTGCCCAGGCATGATCATGACTCACCACAGCCTCAGGCTCCCGGGCTTAGGTGATCCTTCCATTTCACCCTCCCAAGTAGCTGGGACTACAGGCTCGTGCAACCACACCCTGCTAATTAAAAAAAATTTCTTTTTGTAAGACGAGATCTCACTATGTTATCTAGGCTGGTCTCGAACTCCTGAGCTCAAGCAGTCCTCTCACTTTGGCTTCCCAAAATGTTGGGATTACTGGCATGAGCCGCTGCACCCAGTCTGAAATTCTTGTGTTTATTTTATTCATTGGTGTCTTCCTTTCAACCTCCCATGAAAACAGGGACTGGCTCTGTTTTGTTCACAGCTATATCTCTGGCACTCAGAGCAATACCTCACTCTTGGTAGGCGCTTAATAAATATTTATTGAATGAATAAATGAATGAAGCTGGGAAGAGTAGAGGTAAAATATCAGTGATTAAAAATAAAATAACCTTACCTTTGTGTCTTTTTATATTTTTAAGTGTTAACTTGTGTGTTATTTCACTCTGGCATTTTGTTCAGTATGAATTATGGAAATAGATTCTTAAGAGCCAGCTGTTTTTTGGTTCTCTCAAAGACATGATGCCAAGTTTGGATTTAAAAATGAGACTGGAATGTGGATCTGAGAAGAAGAAAAAATGGATTCATATTCCAAACAGTAGCTCTCTCCTCATTAGGATTTGTACCAGTGCTCATTTGGGGGTCTACCCCTAAAAGATGATGACACTTTGGACATCTGTGGTGGGAGATAGTCCTACATGTCTGAGTTTCCTCTCTAAGGGCAGCAGACTTGCCAGGGCTTAGATAAATGATGTGTGTAGCACATCCTCCCTCCTTCCCTCCTCACCAGCTTCTGCTCAATCTGTTAGCCCTGCAGCAGCAGTTAATTGGCAGGTATAATTCCCATGTAGGGCAAGGCTGGTACTGGAGGATTAGGGTAGTAGCTGTCATGGGTAAGTGTTTTCTAGCCTGGGAGACAGAAATGTAATGTGGGACCAGCCCTTCTGTTAAGGGACAGGGAAAAAGAGATCACTTTGTAAAAATGACACATGGAAGGCTACAAGTCCAGGAGTTATTTTCTCACTGCCACCAAAGTCCCATTTGATGAAAAACAAGTGATGTTTGCCCCTGTAAAGTCACGTGAACTTGTAAAATATTATTGTCCTTTTTGTGCTACATCACCAGCATTCATCTTGCTGAAATCTCCCTCTGGTTTCTGACGTTGAGCTATTAGAGATACTGCTGTGGCTGATGACTAAGACTGATAATTCCGTTTTCCCCTGGTGTTGGAGAGAAATTAAAGAAGTGGAAGCCAAACCCTGGAGAGGCTGGGACTTAGAAATCCCTTGAGGGCTGTGTGAACACTAACATAGTTTTTCTGCAGGGTGGGCAGGGTTAGCAAAGGGAAAAAAGCAGTGGATATTGAGATTGCTTGAAAGTAACTTAACCCTTTCCAAGAAATTT